GCATTAGCCTGCTGGGAGCCGTAGTCCCAGGAGGCAATGTCGATGCCTCTGCGGTTTGTATCACCTTTTTACAGGATAATTGTGTTTCTTAGTATTATCTTGTCTGACATTCCTTGTGATCAATATAAATTAGGGTTATTGTCGCACTCACACATTGTAGATCACACATTTTTCTTTTCATTTCCATTTTCATTTCACTGTCACCCCGCACAGCGATCTCCTCCATACAACACAGCCGGACACGCCCCCTCCACTACTCAGCTCAGAGCTCCGCCCCCTTTATGCTGATCAGTGAGCTTCTCCCTCATCAGCATCTGCATAATAAGAAACACAGAACCCCAGCCAGCTACAGAATGGGAGCTGCTGATTGGAGGGGTTGGGCGGAGTAGTGTAGTCTGTGCAGAGTGGGTCTCCAAGCATCGTACAGAGTGTAAAGCTGCCCATACACCTTGCGATCATTGGACGAAACTTATCGTCCGATGATCGAACCGTCGTACGATTTTTCATACGGCGGCCCCATCCTGCCCCGATTATCGCAAGGTTGAAACAGCAGTAATTAAAAGAAGGCACCTGGACGAATTGCGGTAATCAACCGCACGTATTTTCGTCTGCGCATGAGCAGTGTAAATCGTATGAATTTTGGCGTACGGAAACGCCACCAACCTTGCGAAAATCATATGATTGACCAAAGTTTTCTAACCTGCTGGTTAGTCAAAAGTCGATCGATTGTACAGTATTTGCGGTTATACACTGCCCATCAACCTTATGAATATCGGACAAAAACACTAAAATCGGCCAATATTCGTAAGGTGTATGGGCAGCTTTAGAGCAATGGTCTGCTGGGAGCTGTATGTCAGCACATTCTTCCTCTCTGGGCCCCCCCCCAAGTGGCGGAATGCCAGGGCCCGGTCGCACATGCGACCACTGCAACTCTGGTAGTTCCGCCACTGCTGAAAGGTTTTTTAACCCTTCCATGCTCTGTACAAAAAAAATGTTTAACAATTAAATGGCCAAAGGGATTGTGTTGTGTATTGCAGCAATGATCGAATAAGGAAACTGAAGTACTTAGCATGTATGCTCTGCTCCCGGTGTTTCAAGGCTACATTTTCAATTTTGACATTTCTCCAGGCAAATTAGAAAAAGTGCCCCATAGCAGGTTTAAAACCTGGCAATGCCCCCTAAGGACCAATTCACAATATTGCACAAGTTATATGCACCAACTCATGTTATCTGTGTGTTGCTGTGACCTGTAGGGTGACACGTGCGAGATCCTACTTCACTTGAATGACACATTTATAACTGGCTGCTGCTGACAGAGGAGACAAGACAGCGGCGCCCAGAAGTGTACAAAGAGCATTTTCACAACCATAAACCAGAATAGATGGAGAAGGAAGCACTGATTTGACTAATTACCTAATATGGCTCAAATTGGCAGCAGTTGATTGAAATTTTGACCAGACATTA